GTAAAAATTCTCAATAATATTAAAACTAATTTTATGTCAAAAAAAACCCTCAAAGAAATTTTTGCTACCAAGATTTGCTTGGTCGGCATTCTAAGTGCGAAAACTGGTCCCCCCATAGCTTTTCAAATAAATCTAGGATTTTGAAATGTGAGAACTGGTCTTCTTGCTCAAATACTAGAATTTTTACTACCCATGTAGGTCTTCCTAGAATTCGGCACAAGTGGAGCGGGGATAAGCTTTCGCTGAGTTCAGTTATTTTTCTCATTTTTATTACTGTGCAAATACTTTGAGCAGTTAAATTTTGTGTACTTTCTATAAGGTTAGTTCACCAAAATGTTGGAAAATTGGGGCGGAGACGGTTTTCACCATTCCTTTCTCAGTTTTTCCAGATTTTTTGCAACAATTTATAAGCAGTTTACTTTTCACATCTCAATGTCTAGTTTTGCTAAAATTTTCTCAAGTTTAAGCGGGGACCAGTTCTCGCTGCATTTCAATTCCTCAAATTTCAATTTTTCTGCTTTGTGCAATGTTACATCCAGTTAAATTTTTACACTGATCTTACTCTGTTGGCTCAGGTATAAAGTTCTCGATTACATTAACTATGTGATATATAGGCCAGATTGCGTTAAAAAATATCTGCTCTCCTTCTTGTCTTTCCGCTGCTTCATTTTCGAGCCCCTTCGTCCTCCATTTGTCTAATCTTATTTGCCATTTCAAACGAATGATCCCATTTCTTAGCTAGTTAGGGGTGTTCCCGTTAGGCGAAATCGAACATTCTCTTTTATGGGCATTTTTTCATACAAAGTCGTGGGTGTGGGAAGCAGATTCTCGAGAAGTCGGGCGCGAGTGCATTAAATTCATGAAAGCGACATAATCTCTTGATTCTCGTGCAAATATGCAAATTTGATGGGGCATACCCTCAGAAAAAGATTGGATAAAGAAATGAACCTTTTCATAGAAAAGTCCGAGGGAAAATTAGCGAAAACGGGGACTTAGAAGAGTATTTCGTCATTTTCGCGATTTTTCAATCCTAGAATCAAACGATAGCTTGATAGCAGTGTAATAATAAATTTATTATAAGACTACTCTTAATAATAATTTGCTTTCTCAAAAATCTCATAGTTCTTGAAGTTCTCTAGATCTCATTTTTTTTCTTGTTTTCTTATATTTCATGAAAATGAAATTTCGCTTTATGAAAAAAAAACTTTTGGTTATTAAGGTCATATCTTAAGTAAAATTGCATTTCAGCAAATTATCAACAAAAATTCTTATAAACCTCTCCGCTCTAAAAGTACTTTTTTCTATCCCTTCCCCTCCTTCTGGAAGCTTCGTAAACTCATTTTCATCCTAGACTAAACTCTCAAATAGATTATAGGACGATTGGATCTTAATGTTGCACTATCCTTCTTGCGCTAATTTTGAAGAAAAAGTCGAAGACGTTATTGCTGTTAAAAAATTGGAACTGTAAGAGTGATTTAGTAGTTACTGCTTTTCGCGTCATTTTAAACTAATTTTTATGTCAAAGGTAAGAGTCACTTGCTGAAAATTTATTGCTCGTTTCAGCAATTAATCATCACTTCTTGGTTTTGTAGGTAAAAGAAGTGGAGAAAATTTATGAGGCAGCATCAAGAAAACTATTATTCAGCTACTTTTTGAAATATTTTTGGAAATGAACTTTGTCACGCACATTCAATCTATGAGGATAACTTACCTTGACATGGGTGAATAAGTTTTTGTCGTGAAGTGATTGACGGTTTCGGGCACAGAAAAGATAGGAAAAGAAATTTTTGTCTCAATTTTCTCAGCAAGTCTTGGATAAAAATACTCAACAAAGATGTAACAAATAAAAAATAATCAAAAAATAAATAAATAAATAAAGATAAATGAAAAAATAATGAGTGAATTATGTGAATTGAAAGACTCACAAAATCGCAAATTTTCTTTCCTATTCACTACCTCAAAATTATTTTGGAGTAAGCTGTGACGTCACACGTCGCCCACGCACAATCTTTCTAATGAAATCAGCAAAAATCCACTTGCACATCAAGTACTTGGCGCAATATTGCCTGAGGGTTCGGGGCGCGCGGCCCCGACAGCCGAGTGCCGCGCGGCGCCGGCTGCTGCCGCCGCCTGCCGAAGTTTGCGACGAGCTAAGGACTTCTTCCTCTCTACCTACGCGCACATCTTCGGCCCACCCGTCGCCCCGCGGCCAGCAGCCCTCATTTTCGTTCGCTTCCTTCCGAAAACATAATCGGAGACATTCTAATGGAATTTCATCGCAGACTCTCCTCTCTCTCTCTCGGACATGCCCCCGCGCACACACGCACATACACACACTACGCGCATACATACAAGTCCCAATGGCATCCTCCCACCTTTTTAGACAACTACTAGCTATGCTTGGTAACTTCTTGGTTGGAATCATGCTTGTCGTACCTCTTGATTTATAACGAAGGGAATTACCGTCTTGAACCCCGTTTCATTCCTTTCCTCAGTATGAGAGTGGAATTATAAAAGCTCTCTTTCTCGGAGGTTATTAGGAAAAAGAAACTAGTAATTACCGAAAATGTTGAAGTTCTTGAAGTAATAAAGCAAATATATTTTTTGTCACAATGACTGAAGAAAAGGAACTAGTTGTGAACTTTTCAGTCTAATAAAGTTACCCGAACTAATTTCAATACTTTTAGTTTTTTCTAGGTTTGTGTGAGCACTTCTTGCCAAAATTAATCCCATCTTTCGAAGATGTTATAGTATTATTAGTGTAGCAAATCTTCTTCTCAGGATAAGCATTCACGATCTGTACTTTGCTGATCTTCTTCAAATTTTGGCACAAAAATGCATTATACGAGAGTAAATTGCTTTTTTATGGATTTTCTGAGTACAACATACCCAGTTAATGGACCTGTGCGATATTTCTCGATTTTTTTAAACATCTGATACCCCTTAATCAGTGTGGATACTCGAAAGCAAATAAATGTTCATACCAGTGCCCCCACCCCCCAAGTCCCTATATGAATTATAAAATTGCGCAAGTGACTTGTTTATACTTGTAAATAATTAAAATAATTTTTAGAATACTTTAAAAATTCAATTTAGCCTTATAAAACATTTCTTTTGGGGTCGTACATTCATTATTCAGGTTTTCCCAATTATTTATAGCTTTAGAACAAAATGTATAGAACAATGTCTTGGACTTCAGCAAGTATTTTGAAAGTGATGACGCTCAAAAATTCTAAAGTTATACTGTGCTCTGAGCAATTTTTTAATAGTAATCCTGGCAAGAATTTGCGTGAACCTAATTCCAAAGATGTACTTCTTCTTAACATCAAAATCAAGTCGTGATCTAATAAGTGAATTTAGCTTGCACTTTACAAACCTTGTTATAAGAATCAATAACTCTTTCAAGATAATCGAATTTTTATCTCTAATTTCTGGTTTTTTACGTCATAACTATATCTTCTAGCTTGTATGTACTAACGTTAAGCTGTATGAAGATATAATTCAAAGAGATTTTGACTCAAAATTATCGTAATTTTTGCAGTGCAGTCACTTTCTGCAGTCTTCGTTTTTAAAAATACACTCCAAAGTTCTTCTTTGCTTAGAACCTTTCGTGAGAATCGTAGGCATTTAGCCCGCTGTCACAGGAGCGCCTGAGGCATTTTCAAGCATCAACGAGTTGCTTAGCACTTCAAAGTGCTTGAGTTTCGTCGCTATAAAAAAAATTAAGGAAGAACTTTCTAAGAAAGAATTTGAAAATCTTTAGAGCAATTGCCAGACGAATGACTGCTTTTCTTTGTTGACACAGAGATGATTTAGTGAATTTTTTTAAAAATATTTATGGGGATTCAAAAAATAGTTAGGAGAATTTTTAGCGAAAGAAATTCAAGAAAAGGTTGACAGCAATGAGATAACTGTCTTTTCGTTGTCGACAATAATTTTAGAAATGGTTTGATGATTTTTGTATTTTTGAGAATTTTGCTGAAGCCTGAGATATTGCTAGGTTTCAAATTCAGCAAGGTTTCTTTTTGTGCACAGCTGTTTTGTTTTTCAAATGTCTTCTGTTCTGAATAGTGACAAACTTACATCAGCAATGGATATTTCTTTGCCATTACGTGAGATTTGTTCTTTATCTATTTTCCATGTTTTCTTTTGGTTTCAGATCAAAAACCATATGCTTAAAACTTTAATATCATTCTTCAAGCTTACATATTCTTCCACGTCTACATAAAAATATTCAATAGCTAATATAATAAGTGCATCTTTGTGAAAGCAAAAAAAGTGAAATATGATTTCCAGGCTTTGACTTCCACGACTTTAAAGTTTTTAAGCCTTCAAAGAAATTTCTTTGTGCTCAGAACTGAAGCCTTTTGAACTCTGCTTTGTTTGAATCAAATTAGAAACGAGAAAAATATAGAGAAAATTTTTCAGACAATCTATGACAACTGTAATTGTAATGTGTAACGACTATTTGTAACTACACGTTAGAAATATCAACGAGTTTCATTCGTCATAAGGCTGGAAAAATTTTGTAGAAAATTTTTCAAAGAATCTGTGAAGATTATATAACTCTAACTATGGTTGTGTGAAATCTGATAATGTACAAAATTGTATATCGGAAGTGAAAAACGACTATTCCTTTAAAAATCCTCATTACTCCGATGTAGGTCGCAATAAGGTGATCAATGAAACTTAGACACATGAAAACTTGAATAATTATTGGTAACCTTTAAGCACTGTTGTGGATTAGCAATTTACCTACTGTTGGCAGTTCCAAAAAGGGGAAGTTAGTGGGGGACCCACTTCTGAGTTCCCAGCCCGTTCCTCGTAGGCGGATGGGAATATGAACAACATACGCTTCATCTACCAAATTCTACTTTTTCTTCAACAGACAAGAATTAACCCTATTGTGGAGGATGAATTGGTGTCTTAAAGGGAGTCTCTGACGCAAAAACGGGTTTATATGGCATGAAATGGGCTACATATTCAAATATGTGTTTTAGATGAGGACGACAATCCAGTAGAAGATACGGCAATGGCTGCTCGTTCCACGTCCGGTCCTGGATTGCAAAGGCGGCGAGGTGAGTATAAAAAAATTTCCAAAAAAGTTTGGTAATTCTCCAACTTACCTAAGCCGAAATCTTCGTTTTTTGTTTTTTTGTTCCTTTTTTCGTCACTTACCACTCGCCTCTTTCCATTTTTTGAAAGATTTTAACAGTTTTCTAGCATTGCTTTTTTGTCAATATAGGTTGCAAAACAGATGAACACCGGCCAAAAAATTTTCAAAAAAGTTTTCTTTTTTATTTTGCCCTTTATAGGAGCAATCAAACACGCCCGTGTGCATGAAATACGTGGACATCAATTTGTTGCAACATTCTTTCGACAATTCACATTCTGCTCGTTATGCTCTGAATTTATGTGGTAGGATTTTTTTCTATTTTTCAAATTTGTTATCTTGACTTTCTGGATAATAGAAGTATAAAAAAAATCTTTAGGGGTCTCAACAAGCAAGGATACCAATGTCAATTATGTTCTGCAGCAGTACATAAAAAATGCCACGAGAAGATCATTATGCAGTGTCCAGGATCAGCTAAGAACACCAAAGAGACCATTGTAAGTTTTGAGGCATTTAGAATTTTTCTTGTTCAAAATTTTTTACTATCCCTTCTCGCAAAATTTTCATAAAATTGTAAATTGTCAAGAAAAATGCTTTAGGTAATTCTTTTTCTGTAAGAGCTTCATTTTGGACCAACATAAAAATCCTTTTGGAATCTCTTCTGCGCAACTTCTACGCTTAAATGTACACAGTGAGGTTACTTATTTCATTCAAAAATGTTCTATTCACAATCTTTCGATCAATCGTTAAGTTAATTTCTTTTTGGCAAAATTCTAGATTTGTAAGCGGCAACACTAGCGCTAATAAAATCACAGACCAGCGTTCTATATCGTTGTCATACAGTGCTGGACATAATTATAAAGCCACTCTTGGTGCAAAAGTTCTGTCAGTTTTTTCAATCCATTGGCAAGCAAGCTAGAATGAAGATAAACAATCGCTTTAGAATGTATCCGATGCAGAATTTCTTCCTTTTTCCAGCTGCTGAACTCCCGTTGTGTTTCGTTGAGAAAATGACGAGATATTTGCCGGAAATTACAGTCACTCGTTTTTACCAGTCTAATTTTCAATAATTTTCAAAAAATTTTACGAAATTTTCGAAGCCTACTAACCTCCAGAGATGGCAAACCTTTTGCCAACAGAAGCAATTTTTTCTTTTTTTTAGCTGCTTTTTCAGGATTTTGCTAAGTATTAGGTTGTCAAGAAAATAATGTCCGTTTTTATTTGCTTGCTTTAACAAAGCAACCAGACTGAACCCAACAAAGGGTAAGGGGTACTGTTCGATAGAGCAAAGCAAGCTCTACAAGATGGCACTCATGTCTTTGCGCCAAGCTCGATCCACTGAGAGTTCGAACTCAAAATCTAAAGATTTCCAAATGCCCAAAAATCGAAAAAAATCAGATCTTCGTCCAGATAATTTCTACGGACCTCCCACTCGCTCATATCAATACTATCGATATCCGATATCCATATGTGCGATTGCCGTATTTTTTCCTTGACTAGAAACTGAGAAAACGAAAATTTCCCTGATTTTCTCAAAGCAATGCTGAGCCGTTTCTGCATATGTAGTTTTATACTACAAGCCTAGGTAAGCATAACTGTAGGTTTTCAGCCTATTTCGAGCTTTTACTTTTCGAGAAATGTCGATTTTAGCACTGAAACTGAAACGAAAAAATCCGAATTCGTTATTTTTCGAAAACTACCGCTTGGAATGGGCTGAAAATCTACAGTTATACTTACCTAGGCTTATAGTATAGAACCACACTTGCAGAAACGGCTCAGCATTGCTTTGAGAAAATCAGGGAAATTTTCGTTTTCTCAGTTTCTAGTCAAGGAAAAAATACGCCAATCGCACATATGGATATCCGATATCGATAGTATTGATATGAGCGAGTGGGAGGTCCGTAGAAATTATCTGGACGAAGATCTGATTTTTTTCGATTTTTTGGGCATTTGGAAATGTTTAGATTTTGAGTTCGAACTCTCAGTGGATCGAGCTTGGCGCAAAAACATGAGTGCCATCTTGTAGAGCTTGCTTTGCTCTATCGAACAGTACCCCTTACCCTTTGTTGGGTTCAGTCTGGTTGCTTTATTAAAGCAAGCAAATAAAAACGGACATTATTTTCTTGACAACCTAATATTATTCTGAAAGTCTTGTGTTTTGGAAAAATCGCATAACCTTTCGTTGTACCAAACACTGCAAAACCTACAGAATATTGAGGTTTCAACACCTGATTATTAAAACCGCTACCATTAAAAAGTAAATGAGCGATTTTCGCTTTGAATTATGAAGATTTTAAAACATAGGTTACGTCAGTGCGCACTCATGAAATTGAGAAATACTGCGATTTTCCCCATAAATTTCGTAGAAATTCTAAAAGACAAGGCGTAGGGCTACAAAAAATTGCTTCTGTTGGCAAAAGGTCTGCCCTATTTGGTGGTTATTAGAACTCCTCCGAAAATCTCATACAAAAATTTTGAAAATTAGTGAAAGTTGGACATGGTAAAACGAGTGATTGTAATTTGCGGCAAATATCTCGTCATTTTCTCAACGAAACACAACGGGAGTTCAGCAGCTGGAAAAAGGAAGAAATTCTGCATCGGATACATTCTAAAGCGATTGTTTATCTTCATTCTAGCGTGCTTGTCAATGGATTGAAAACACTGACAAAACTTTTGCATCAAGAGTGGTTTTATAATTATGTCCAGCACTGTATGTAATCGCATATCTTAAAATTGTTATTTTGTGCAACTGCACCATTTACATGGTTGCTTTTTCGGGAAAACCATCTTCAAAGGATCATAGCTAGCTTTAGCTATACATTCTGCTCTTGAAAGATTGGTCTGGCTTCGTAAAGTGTTTTTGTTGAAAATAAAAAGTTTTAATTAGCAACAAATCAGGTAGATTGAGTTCTTAGAATATTTATTTTGGTAATAAGAAGTTCTGATTAGCAGCAGTATAGGTAAGCAGCAATATAGGTAGATTGATTTTCGGTATACGACCAACGTGCTTTCGAACAGCATTGGCAAAAGAGATTCAATAAATGAAATGGAAACAGAGAAATGAAAATAAGAAATATCAATAAAAAGGAGATAAAAACGCGTATTGAGCCAATAAAGTTTTTCAAGATTATTTTTCATGCGTTGACCTGTCGCGACGCGAGTGAGAGCGGCGCGGCTTTCAAGTCGAAAGTCATTTGATTCGTATCGTAGCTCATCTGAAAATTCTTTTACGCTGAAAATGTTAATATAGATATATGATTCCAGCGATACCTGGGAATTCCCTCACCTCGAAGCGTAAATTCTAGCTTTGGTCAATCCTATACTTATTACGTCGGCAAAATAATAATGGCAGATAATGATTAATACATAATAATTACGCATAGCGTGAGCATTTACAAAATGTGGGCCAGAATAGTAAGAATTCCTATTCTTTCTAGGCTCTAAAGGAACGATTCAAAGTCGACATTCCACATCGCTTCAAGACCTACAACTACAAAAGTCCCACATTTTGTGACCATTGCGGTTCAATGCTCTATGGACTAATTAAGCAAGGAATGCGATGCGAAGGTAAGGTTTTGGTCCGAGCATTTTTTCTTTTTCATTTTTTTTTCGTAAAAGAAATGTCTATTCAACTGTGTTCTGCTTGATTTGCTATTTTTTAATTCACTTAGAAGCTCTGTAATCTTCAATAATCTCCTCTGTAGCTAGGGATTCTCTCCAGGATACACCCTCATCTCGTGTCATCGACCAACAACTCTGTACCCAATGTTTGCAACTGTTTTAATCGAGTTAAAAATTTATTTTTTCAAGGAGCAGGGCAAAAATCAATTATTTACATGGCCACTTATTGCCTGCGTTAACGAACATTAGATCCACAAAGTTGCACATTATTATATGACATTTTTGATTGTTATCATGCTAACCTCAAGGGGACCAGTTCTCGCTTGTAATATTCGGAAGAAATGATTTGTTTCAGTAATGATGACACCTACACATTGGGGTTTTTTTGAGTCCAACGACAATAGCGTGTTTCAGCTTCTCTTTGATACCTACAGTGTAGAGGACGAGTTCTCGCTCGTTTTTTGGAATATTGGCAGTATTTTTTGAAGAGGATGACATTTACGGTTGAGATTTTATGAGCTCAGTTAGATAACATGAATGAGCTATTTTTGTATCCTCACCGGGGGACCATTTCTCGGTCGTAATTTGACCATGGGCAGCTATTCCTTTTTTGGGCTCAAAAATGACAACATTAATGAGAAGTTTTCATAACAGTTATTAATTTGGGGAGCAGTTCTCGCTTAAATCTATGCTTCAAAGATATCTTTCAAGATGACGCCATTCTAATATCATTTTAGTTATAAATTACAAGACCTCCAATGAAACTGCAATTTTACAACGCATGACGTATTATATCTGAAATATTGCGTAAATTTCAGTGTGTGGCGTCAATTGCCATCATAAATGCGAGAAGCTGATGTCGAATCTATGTGGAGTGAATCAAAAACAATTGTCCGAAGCACTCTACGAGATCAAACGAGGCACCGTAGCGAGTTCGAGGTGCGAGTCGAATGAATACTCGTACAGTTTGCCTTCTTTAGAAGACTTGAGCAGCTTGAAAAATTATTTTTTTAGTTGTCCGCCAAATATTGGAAACCTACATATTGGCAATGGCGACTCAAAACATCCAAATGGTAGCCTACCAAATAAGTTGAAGAATTTCTTCAAATCGCAGCAGTATAGCATGGAAAATCATCCTGAACATGACGAGTAAGATTTTTCAAATTTTTTAGAAAACAAAAATTAAGAAAGCATTTTTTAAGGTACATGAACAATATCTGGACAGGAGGCGATGGACCTGTGAAGAAGTTTGGCTTGCAACATTTCAATTTGTTAAAAGTGCTCGGAAAAGGAAGTTTTGGAAAGGTAAATAATAGAAAATATGGGTCAATTTTCTATTTGATACGCGTGAGTGATTTGAAGTGTAAGAAATCATAGGCGTAAATGAGCGTTCCTTTTCACACCATTCCAAGTTTTTTGAAAACTATATTTTCTAAAAGTTATTTTTAATACAACTTTTCTATCACCAATTTTCGTGGAAACCTGTCGATTTCTCATGTACTTCTTTCATGGAAGGATTATTTTTGAAGTTCAATTTGTTGCTAGGTTGAGATCTGAAGTTTTTACTATGAGTAACTCTACTGGAAAAAGAATTATTTTTGCTTCTCGAGTTGTAGTTCAAAATTCGCCATGTGGCATCAAAAATAAGATTTTTCCTCAAAGAGACTGTTGGTGCTGAACCTACGCAGATATTGTTTGCAACATTTTCACGGATTCAAAAGAAATGAACTAAACACTTTCACCCAACTTAAAAGGTTTTGAAAAAATCTTTAAGCTATGTATTACCAAAAATCTCCTCAGATTTTTTACAAATTAGTTTTACTTTCGAAGCAGTCCCTTGGAAGTTGATTTAGACTTCTAACTTCCTGTTTAAAGCAGGCTCACAATTTTGTGACAAAAGATTCCGCTTATCCACACGATTAGATGTCTGGATGTTTTTAACAATGTTGAAAAAACCACGCATATCCTAGAATTATTGGATTGGCATAAAGCTTGTATGCGAAGTTTACGATAAGCAGATTTGATGGTTCATTCGAATCTGTCTAGGCCATTGTTTTTAACAAATTTTTAGAAATTCGGAACGAATTAAAAAAGGTCTTTTGCGTCTGTATCAGAACAGAGTTTTAAAAATTTAGACTGTGAAAAAAAATTTTTCCAGGTCATGCTTGTCGAGCTGAAAGGAAAGAGCGAATATTATGCAATGAAATGTCTGAAGAAAGACGTTATATTAGAAGATGATGACACTGAATGTACTTATATAGAACGACGAGTGTTAATCCTAGCCAGTCAATGCCCATTCCTTTGTCAGCTGTTCTGCTCGTTCCAGACAAATGTGAGCGATTTTCTATAATTTTTGGAATTTTCCAAAATTTTGGTTCAAAAATTGTTTGTAGGAATATCTATTCTTTGTTATGGAATATTTAAATGGTGGTGATTTGATGCATCACATTCAACAAGTGAAGAAATTCGACGAGAATCGAACTCGGTTCTATGCTTGCGAAATTATCGTTGCACTCCAATTTTTACATGCAAATAACATTATTTACCGGTGAGAGATTTTTCCGCAATGTTTTTTCTGTAGCATTTCCGTGACTACGTACTTGACTGCATAACTGCCCTTATTTTTTTTACAGAGATTTGAAGTTGGACAACATTTTGCTTGACTCCGAAGGACATGTGAAATTGGCTGACTTTGGAATGGCTAAGACCGAGATGAACCGTGAGAATGGTATGGCATCGACATTTTGCGGAACTCCCGACTACATCAGCCCTGAGGTAAGATTAGGATAAATTTTTCGCCCTTTCTTTCCTTCAATGCATTTTTTCATATTTCAGATTATAAAAGGACAACTATACAACGAAGCTGTGGATTTTTGGTCATTTGGTGTTTTGGTGAGTTTTCACTGGATTTAGGCCGATTTGCACGACCGTAATACCGTCAGAAATTCCGTGCACCGCGTTGAAAACCTTGCGGGTCTTTTCGCGTGTCCAGTTATTTATGGGGGGGGGGGCGTTGAGGAGCAATTTGTTTGTATATTGTTGTGCAAAACGGTTGCCTCCTAATATTCCTACTTCATTACGGTAGGATTACGGTACTTTCACTATTCGTGATCTTGCAGATGTACGAGATGTTAGTTGGACAATCACCATTCCATGGTGAAGGTGAAGATGAACTCTTTGACTCGATTCTTAGCGATCGCCCCTACTTCCCAAAGACCATCTCGAAAGAGGCGGCGAAATGTTTGAGCGCTGTAAGTTACTGGAGAAAATTTGAGACATATGATTTGCAATTGGTAATTTTTTTAGCTATTCGATCGTAATCCGAACACTCGACTAGGGATGCCTGAATGTCCCGACGGACCGATTAGGCAACATTCATTCTTCCGCGGTGTTGATTGGAAACGATTCGAAACACGACAAGTCCCACCGCCTTTCAAGCCTAATGTTGTGAGTTTGCAGAAATTTGACTTGGTTATATTTTTTAAATAAGAACTAGAAAATTACCCTTGTTCCTGAATTATTCAAAATATTGGAACATTTTTGCCAAAGTGGTCAGCTATTATAAGTTTGTCAAAATTGCGTACACCCCCTCCCCTCCATCCATGGTGGCAATCCCATTTCTTATTTGGAAACTTTCTATGACATTGGTTTGGCCCATAAATGCATCCATAGAAGCAAAGCATAGCCAAAATCAAAGTTCGCTGTTTGTATCGAGTATACTAGCCAATCACAATCCGCATTGTGACGGTACGTTGCCTATCGTGAGGCGATGCTGCGATTGGTCAGTTCGATGGGATACGTTTTCCAGCAGTTGTAGACGTTTTTGCGCTAATTTTTCCGTTTTTGTTCAGGATTGACATATCTATAATTCACTGTGCTTGAATAACGTTACTTTGCGAATGAAATTGTCATGGTAATTGCACTAGCTTACTATTACTATTGCAATAAAAAAAACTGACCAATAGCAGCGTTATTTGCGGTGAACCGCATAATTTACCATCCAGCTTGTGATTGGCTACTGTACCACCTACAGTAAAAGCTTGAATCGATTTATAAAGGAGGGGGGGGGGGAGAGGTCCTTTCGAAGAATTTGGAAACTTTATCTGTTTGCTACGATCAGAGCTTCTGCACATCCCAGAATTGGTCATCTTGGAAAAAAGTCAGAAAACTCATGTAAATCATTTTATAGAAATGTTCATCTGACGCTTCGAATTTCGATGAAGACTTCACGAACGAGAAGGCTGCGCTAACCCCGGTGCACGACAAATCCTTGCTGGCCTCTATTGATCCAGAAGCGTTCTTGAACTTTTCCTACACAAATCCACAATTTCTTAGTTGAATTACGGTAGATCATTGATCTACAGGTGTTATCGCTTGGCTCAAGGAATCGCAATATTGTGACTTTTCATAAATTATACTATTTGTTTGCGCTAAATTTTTCTATTCCTAGCTTCTAGGTAGCATTTATTACTCAGTCATGTAGCTTATTCTCTGCCAATAGTTACTCATAGTCATTGTAATATATAGCATTAGAGACTAATATAGATTATAAGGAACATAATAGCTATTGGAATCTCCGCTTACATCCAAGGATACTAGCGTAATTGCATCGGACGCGAATGCGCACGCGTCGCTGATTGCATTGACACGCCCAATTTTAGTCGGGTTTCATCGATAATGGTTACTATGATTGTTTTCTTTTACATTATCTTTCTAAATATCAAGCTCGTTGCTGTCATTTGTTTATTTGATGATTGTTTACGGATCCGTGGTCATAGATCCGCATTTTTTTCATTCAGTTCTCCTCTCAGTTCCGCCCCTGAATCATGTTCAATGGCGCTGCAAATTCCCTTTATTCACTTTTGTACACAACAATTCATTCTTTCTCTTTGTATGTTATAGAGTAGCATACCTGTGATTAGCCCAACTGAGAGCTGGTTTCTTTTTCTTAATCAATCTAAGGACCGGCACATCATGTGCTATATTCTAATATTTTAAAGCTAAAAGACTTTGTCATTATACTCTCTTGTCATACTATCAACATGGTCGAAGACGTTTTTCTTCCGCAGGTTCTTATTGTACAGATTCACTGAAATAAAACTTAAACATACTTGGTTTTTCGACAAATCTGACTGAGCATGAGTTATATGAACACGACATTAGAAATTAATAGTCTTTGGACTTGTGGATTCTCGAACAACAATACAAAGACTGGAGAAACCAGCGTCAGAAAATTGTTGCATACTTACATTTGATAGATAGCAGGACAGAATACGATGGAAGGAAGCATCCGAACATACTAAATAGTTTAAATTCCATTTGTGAATGACAAGAAGAAATAGCGGACTCTTGTTGATGGAAATGACATAGTACATCTGCATTCCTACAAAACAGCAGAAGCCCTGCTTGAAATGAACCGGTGAGTATGGATGGAGGAGGAGAAACCCGGTTAGTGGAAATCACAATTAAATAAAATGGTTCTGTCATCTTTATCTACGAAGCTTTTTGATTCGTGCAAGAGGAATGATCTAATAAAACCAAGTCCTCCAAAGTTTTGAAGGATGCATATTCCAAGTAAAGAGAACAAAAGTGGTATCCAGAGGCTTCAGTTGAACCTCATATGAACCTTAGGATTTGGATAGACTTTCCGTACTATCTGAGGAGCACAAACGCTTAGGAAATTACTTTATCGAGGGAGTCTTCATATTTAAGAGGTCAAGCGTTGTTGTTCACAACCTAGCGAGGTGCATTTGTAGGCGCAATCCACCGAGCAATGTTGAGCTTGTGCTCGTCTCTCAGGGCAGCAATAGTCAGGTACTTCCTTGCAGACTGCTAACATCATCAAGGCGGTCGATCGAACTTTAGTCGTTTTCGTCAAAACGCATGTCATTACGTTGTTACAGAGAGATGCCTGGACTCGGTCTCAAAAAAGGGATCCGTTTTGTCGGGTAGCATCGAAAAGTGCAGTAATAGTTGTCTTACAAGAGAGGAAAATAAATATTCAGTTAGTAACTGCAGCAAAACACTCAAGTATATAATATCTTCTACTCCCAACAGTTGTAATACATCTATTCTCTTCAAAGCATTTCTGAATTGAGCCACAGAGTCAAAGACAAAAGGGAAGAAGGCAATTTGTTGAGAATTGAGGCTGTTTGAAAGAAAAAGTCTTAATGACGCAGCGGAATGTTGCGTCTCCCAAACCTAGAAACTGACGAGCTTGAAAAGTCTCTGCTTTCATTTATAGGTCGATAGACCCAGTACTTGCTGAGTTTCAACCCACCTCAGCTCGCAATATTTTGAAGGCCATAGAGATGTCAGCTAAAAATCTTCTGCAGAAAATAGCTTCAAGACCCAGCTCGCGTAATCTAGTTCCATAGTCAGGTAAGGCAAGAGGGTAGTTAGGGTTTGGAAATGCACGATAAAATACAATCTTTGTGGAAATTCGTTGAATCTTCCCAAAATTCTGATGTGCTTTTTCAAAATTGCTTTTCAAACTCGGCTGCAACTACCGGTGGAAAAACTAAAGTTTTATAGAATGTACGACTCTCGATAAATCTCGGCATAGTTCATAAGTGATCGATGTCTTGTAGCCAACGCCGGGATTGTTACAAACTGTATTGGCTAACGTTTCGGCTTCTCGCCTTCGTCAGAGCCTGAAGGGGTATCGATTCGTAACCCAGACGGGCAAATGTCTTTACGGCTTCACGGAAAAGGTCTAAGCCTTATTTTTGGCCAGCAGTTCTGCAACAGCCACTTACCACACAAAGAATTCCTTGATGGAAGGATCGCTGGGCTAACCGTATATGGAAGTACTAAATGGAACGTCAGCACAGTTGGCTCTCAGATAAGGAGATAGTTTTCTCGTGATTGCGAGGCATTCTTCTTTTCGGTTAATTTGTGGGTTCTTAGTATGAATCCACAATGCTTCTAGAAATTTGCGAGCAGCCGCTTTTGGTTCAGGTGCTAATATTTTGACTGTTACTCCAAAACTCGATCCAAAAATGCCTTAGTACCATGTGTGTTCCTAACGGAGTGGAAGTTCGTTGCTTATCCCGGCCCTCTAGATGTTCTTTTACACGAATACATAGGGACGTGCGGCTTCACCTACATACTCGTCTCCGCAGACGGTACAGGAAATGGAGTAGACCACCCCAGTTGACATGCGGTCTCCGCTTTAGAAAGCTGCCAACTTACAGCGCGATATCATTGCTCGTTTGAAAATTGAACTGCCTACTCAGGCAAAAATATCGGACGAGCGGCCACAAGTACCGGCCGAGCGGTTTCACTTTTCCGGCTCGTCCGGTAGACGCGAGCGCCCGGCCGGTATTTGCGACCGTTCGCCCGGTCATCGCGAGCGCTCAGCGGCCAGCAATGAAAACGCTAAGCGCTCGGCCGGTCTTTGTGGTTACTGGCGCGGTACATGTGGTTACTGGCGCGGTCTTTGTGGTTACTGGCGCGTTCATTGTGGATGCTCGCGCGGTCACTGCGGTCACTGGCGGTACTTGTGGTTACTGGCGCGGTTTTTGTGGATGTTGGCGCAGTACTAGTGGATGCTCGCGCGGTCTTTGTGGATTCTCACGCGGTCTTTGTGGATGTTGGCGCAGTACTAGTGGATGCTCGCGCGGTACTTGTAGATGTTGGCGCGGTTTTTGTGGATGTTGGCGCGGTACTTGTTCTGTTAAGACAAGATTCTTCTTACTCATAAAGTACAACAGCACAAATTAAGCACAATTGATAATTTTATTTAGAATCTTACATCGTAAAATAAATAACACTCAAAAACGTGTCACAACACATTGTGACAAAATGTCACAACACACATAAACTCTGTGAAATAAACTAAATCAATCAACGACTCAGCTCTTAAGCTGCTCAAAACAACCTAGAAACAATAGAATGCAAAAAACCTAAAAATGCTCACTATCTCAACCCTTACGACGACGACAGCGCATATTGAGAAAACGGCTATGGACCATTAGCAATCGTCATTCGGCCCTGCACGCTTTTTCTTTCTCTGAAAAATATGTGCATTATACTACATAAACTTTTGTTTGGAAAAAAGTTACATCATAAAGCCTCCATTTATCGTTTTCGACGTCATATTCGTATGCGCGAATATCTCTTCTAAACAAATGGTCTAAGAGATGTAGCGTTAGGAAAAAGTTTCTTTACTCACAAGGCCATTTGCAGGGCTTTGAAGAGGTCCCGCCTATCCACAATCTTTTCATGTGCCATCCTTTCGAATGCTTCCGCCCTTTCCTCTCTTGTTTTTCCGAGACTTTCGAAAATGCTGTAAAAAATTGAAATTGTAACTTCTTGGAAAATTCACTCTAGCTCCACCTCGTACTGTCGACATTGACGGCTGCCATTTTGAGTTCTGGATGCCCATAGCCGATTGTGTCTTCGCCAAAGTCTACAATCAGGAGTCCTGAACTATTTCGATATCAAATACATACCTAAGAGTGCAGTTTCAACATTAGACGGCAAGTTTTTAAGATCTGAACTTCGACCTCCTTTTCCGTTGAGCCTTAGGGAATAATCTTGAATGGGTCGCGGCTCCGTTATCTGTAAAAATTATAATGGCACCAGAACCTCTGCAAGTTATAAGGCATTACCTGCACCAGGATGTATGCACAGTGAATGCACAATTAGGGGACTCCCATGGCAAATGTCCTGCGCGCCGATCGAATTCCCACTGAATCATGGGGCGCGACTTTCGCAGCCATTTATAACTATAGGTATGAGTGGTTAGACGTCGCCTTCGATACTTTGAATGATTACCATGAAGTTTATGCTTCCATCACTTACTTTTTGAAAACCCATGGAACCTGGAACCAAAACCTATATAGGTACGAGTATAAATTGCAAAAAGTTAGCGCGAAAGTGCAAATGTTTGTCGTTTCGTCGGACACAAAAGCTGAGGACATGTTGAGAAATATGGCAGGAAACAAGGCAAGCATGGTCGCAAAAGGTACACTGCTGAACTGAGAGAATGATATAAGGAAAGGATGTAAAAAGAACGAAGAAAATGAATTGAATTGAATTGAGAGGAATTGAATGAAACGAAGACTTGATACCAAATTTGGTATCACAAATGGTGGCAGCGATCAAACTTAGAGAACAACTCACATCCATATCTTCGTCGTTGTTGGATAGGGGGGGTGCGTGGCGTTAGGTACCCAGCCGAGGTGCGAGCGTTAGGTACCCAGCCATTTGTGGTACACACTAAGCCACCCCCCTTGGTTGCTTTAGCAGCGGGTACCTAACGATACACCGAATCCGAGCTGCTAGGGCAGCGCACTCTAGCTCATCAAGTCGCGCGACACACAGAAAAAAGACAGTTCGAAGAAATTCAAAAAATTTCGCGAATGAAAGCACATGTGACATCGATTTCTCTGCTGTTTCTTCATTGATTTCCTTTCAAGTTTAATATCAGATTTTGAACGAAATTCGAAGCAAACTTGCATTTTCATAGTTTTCAAAAAAGGCTAGCTCTTATGAGCACTTCACATAGTTTTGCATAGAGAAATTGTGATAATCTGATAGAAAAGATGATGAATTTGGATAAAAAATTTTAACGACAAAGCGCATTTTCGGAGATGCTCCTTGCTAATAAGTTTTCAGAAATCTTATGCCTCAAAATACTGCTTCAAATATATTTCTGACAATGAAACGTGAAAATCGATAAAGGTTTGAAAAAACTTGCCATTAGGCAGTCAGAACTTCATGGTAAAGTATGTGACCCTTTAATCAGTTAGGTCATTAGCTGTGCTTCAATCAATGAATCTGGCACCGAAGAGCTATATCCCAAATTTCGGATAATTGTGTGCCGTTGGAATGGAACAGGTAAAAACAAAAAAAAAATTATTAAGAGTAATTACTGAAAATTCTTTCGTTTTACGGAGATTACAAAAAACTTCATAGTTCTGATTTTCAAACTGAATATCATATTTTGTTTGCGAGACAAGAAAATGAATATGACGCAATCGCATTATGAAACTCCAAAAGCTTTAGAGAGAACAGAAGCAGGAAAAAATACAGCAAATCCGTGGAAGCTTCATCATGTGATCTACCGAAGTAAAGAAAAATATGTATTGTAAAACTTACCAACCA